GCCTCTTTGTCCTTATTTTTCATACTTAGTCGGATTTAAGCTATGTGAAGGATAACTTTTATTCCTTCAATCTAGCCTTAGGAATGCCTCTAAGATATTTCATCAAACACATGATAGGTATTAGGTAAAGTAACTATCAATTTATATATGTTTATGGATTGTTCATCCACCTTATTCTTAGAACAAGGACAAATTTCAAACTTGAATATTCACATCATTCAAGCACCGAAACATTATCATTCTCATAAAATAAACACATAATCATTACCATACCATTACAATTCAATCATTTTTTATATAATCCTTAATAATGTATTAATTAAGCCTTCATCAAACAAACCCTAAATTAACTTTAATTACACTCCAAAACATAAATACTTATGGTGTAGGTGAGGAATTATACTTACCTTACTTAGAATTTTGCCTTCATCTCTCTTTTTCTTCTTGGTTTCTTCCTTCTTCTTCCTTCAAAGAAAATTCGAACAAAGTGGATAATTCCCTCCTCTCCTTGCTTTATCCTTTAAGTTGGGTTATAAGCTAATTTAGAGTGCTTCTAAGCTAGTTAAAGTGATTGGGAGTGGTGGTTTTGGGTGGTTAAAGTTTCTCTCTTAGACCTAGGTTTTTTTCTCTTTCTTTCTCCCCTTTCTTTCTTTATTTTTTCTCTCCTCAATTTTCTTTTCTCTTAAATCTGGAATCCTAGATTTTTTTTTATCCCATTTTTCCCTTAAGTTCAACTAATGGGTCCCTCACATTATAAGCATTTAACACTTTGTTCCTCAAACTTCCAATCCTTATAATTTGATCACATAATTTCAATCTGTAACTTCACATCTTTCATCAATTTGGCCCATATCTAGGTAAATCCTAATGTTAATTCAAGTACATAAGGTTTCTTAATTATTTTAATTAAGGACCTTGACATTTAAAATTTTTAATTATACCCTTAAATTTTGCAATTGCACCCCTATAGCAATGTATAACCATATCAATTAAGGGTACCATTATCTAATTCATCATTCCCGCATTCCATAAACCCATTCCATAATTTTTTTTATGTTTCTTTTATTCTAAATTAAACTTCAAACCTACTTATTAAATAAATGAACTTTTTTATTAATTAACAAAATATCCATCCAATATATTTACATTTTTAGGAGGGTTTTAAGTCACAAATGTTACGAAGATAGCTCACATTATGAACATTAAAGGACCTTTGCCAATCTCCACCACTAGTAGAACCACCTCTTCGTCCTTTATTATTCCCAAAAGGTTTTCGAGCATGTAGATATCTATGAAGTTCATAACGGATATCCTTCGGATAAGCCTATTAGAAATAAGCTCGCATTAATAGAATTTAAGACTTCATAGATTGAAAAGTGTTATTCAAACCCACTAAGAACTGCATCATTTTATGCTACTCTATGCATGCAACAAAAGGTTAAGAGACTTTATTATGACAATGTGGATAGATACAAGCGGTGGAGGAATCAAAATGTCAAATTGATCCCAAAACTCGCCTTAACGTTGAGTAATATGTTACCGCAGTATCCGATCCTTAAACTAATGAATTAATTTCCTTATGCAAGGAAAAAATCTTTGCTCCATGTTGCTTATCAAACCTTTCTTTGAGAACTTTCCATACATCTTTAGCATATTGATAACAAACCAAGCTATTGAACAATTAACTAGAAACATAACCGAGCAGCCAAGCATGGACTAGTGCATTACATTTTTTCCATTGAGCAAAATCAGGTGAATTATAACTCAATCTTGAACACCTTTTATTAAGAAAGTCATCTTTGCTTTTTTCTTTCAAAGAAAGTACCATTCCATTACTCCATGAACTATAATCATCTTCTCTTTGGAGTAAATGTTAGTGTTGATGCCTAAGATCCAACCATGTTTGGATGGGCTTAGGTTAATAAATTATTGCATTATTTATTTTGATAATAATAGAGAAGTCATTATGTTAATTCTTATGCTTACATGTTCATTAGAATTAGATAGAAGTCTTATGATATGCATTCGTAATAGTGATTGATCGAAAGATATGAGACAAACACTAATACACATAAATGATATCATTAAATATCCCAAGTCGTAACATTGTCAAGAATGGACATTGACAATATGCAGATAGATTTATAAGTACTATGCTTATATTATATGATAGTAGTAAGAGATCTTACACCTATTGGCATGGTGATGCCAAAGAAATCGCTTAGGTGATTTATGTTAGAGAACATGTCATCGGACTTGACTCACGATGAGAACTCATTTAGTTTTAGTCTATGAGAATCTCATACGAGATGGGTACAAATGATCCCTAGACTTGAAGTCATCACGGTTATCTTATTGGAGCACTTATACACTTTGATAATCGTTTCAATGGACTCATTAATGGGTTACACGTGGGCGATTAATTGGGTGCACTAGAAATCCAATGGAGATAGGTGTATGGATAAGATAGGACATGTCATTCATTGTATGCTAACGGAGTTATCATATTGCACTTCGATAAATGTCTACTCAAGAAATCTATGATCATAGTAGAAGTATACCAATAGAACATAGTTGGTTTACTCTAAGAGTTAAGACATTTGAAAATCGAAAAAAACTTATGTGATCATAATCGAACAAGACTAGTAACCAAGTTCGAGATCACATTGTGATAAGTTGACATGAGAACTGAATTATATGATAACCATGCTTGTGAAAGGTAATAATGGATTAACTAATCCTCCTAGAGAATTATGTAGTCGTGATGCCTTGCTAGAGGTCACTCTTGACTTATGTATCAAGAGATAAAATAGGTGTATTTTATTTTTGATACATTGCCAATATATCGAGGAGTCTATTGAGTCACACATATAAGTTTAAGTATTCACATTATAAATGAGAAGTAAACATATTGGAAAACGTTTCTAATTATAAAAGGTTTCCTATTTTGGAAAGAGTTTCTAAAATGGAAAGTTTCCTATTTTAGAAATCGATTTCCTAATTTGGAAGTTAGTTTCAAATTTGAAAATAAAGAACTTAAAAGGAAAGGAGTTTCCTAATTTAGGTTAAAAGGTATTTTAAAAATTTTTTTCCTAATGTGGACCCCACCAAAAATAATCTAAAAATATTTATTTGGATATTCCAAATAAATTAATTGGGCTAAAATAGTTTTGGCCCATTAGATTTAATTAAAAAATTTAAGATAATTTTGGTGAGAGGATAAACATCAATCTTATTGGATAAGGTTAAATGTTTTAAAGATAATAATCAAATAGTTCACATATAAAAAAATTCTTCATCCTTGGAAGATAAGGAAGTAGCAACCTAGAGTCCTTTATGGACTCATAGCCACCCCTCTCCTTATCCTTAGAGGACAAGGAGACTCTCCCCTATATATAGGAGGAGAGGTGTGGCATAAATGGTTAATGCAAGAGAGGAGATTTTGGCCAACATAAGAAAAAAAGTAGAGAGAAAATTCGACCAGCCCAAAAATTACCTAAGGCATACGGCCAAGAGAGAAAATAGTTTTCTCCTAAACCCCAGCAAGTAATATTCTTTCCTCTCTTTCAAGGTTGCCCAAGATTGATTTTCGGAGGAAATACAAAATAAAAAAGATAGAGCTAGCACCCTATTAATTTTGAGTGCTTCTTTGTGGATACTTAGACCGTGTGGATCTTCAATAGAGGCCGGACAATTGGACGGCTTCACTGAAAAAGAATTTAGATCTGTACTACAAGAGGTAATCCTTTAACTTATAGTTATTATTCATATATGCATGGTTAGTAGATTCAACGGCTTGATCTTGGGGCCTTAAATGGAGGAAATTTTTGTTTATTCCATACTTCCATAAGATACATAATCCTTCAATAAATGAGTAACAAGAATCAAATTTGGTGTGTTAGAAGGATGTAGAAACAAATGATCAAAAGATCTCTTTGTGAAGTGGTAGAGCATGTGCAATTAGGAATTTCAGTTTGATTTCCATGATTTTGAGAAATTTTCTCGAGGAAAAAAATGTGAATGTGCCAATCACAAAGATGGAAACAAGATTTCTTAAAATAGGATCTGAAAATAGACAATGTGTAATGCGGACAAGGAGATTTAAGAAGAAACTCAAGATTTAATCAAAAAAGAAAAATTTTTCTTGGAACCTAAACAGAGAGAAAATCGTGCTTTGATAGCATGTAAAGAAGAAGAAGAGAAAATGTTAATGTACATTACTTATTCCAGTGTTACATTTTTGGTGTATATATAGTGAGGTTTTTATCCTCTACAATTCATTAGTTACATTACTTAATTAATTCAATTAACTAAATGATTTGTTACAATATTAAACTAACTAACTAACTAACCATTAACCACTAACCATTTGTTCCTTCTCTCTATGGAGCAACAATATCGCCTTTCCTTTGATTCAGGGCTTCCTATACCTACTGCAGGTCGATATGAAAATTTAATCGGTAGGTCGATATGAAAATTTAATCGGTCATCTTAACTACTTAACTATTTCTAGGTCTAAATTGACATATTTAGTTCATATTTTGAGTCAATTTATGCAAAATCCTTGTCGAGGTCATTTAGATGCATCCATGAGAGTCCTTCGATACTTGAAATCCACTCCAAACAGGGCATATTTTTATCGTGCTCTAGTAATCTTTGCTTGCGAGCCTTTTATGATACTGATTTGGCACCATGTCCGATGACTCGTTGATCTATCTGCAAAAACTTCACTTTACTTAGTGATTCCTACCTTTCTGGGAAAACCAAGAAGCAAATGACAATCTCTCGCTCATCTACAGAGGCCGAATACCGTTCCATAGCAACTATTACAAGTGAGCTTTTACAGCTTTGTGTTTCACTCTCTGATCTTATTGTTTCTCACTCACAACCAAGTTATTTATTGTGATAATCAGATAGCACTTCATACTGCCAATAATTTTATTTTGTATGAGCGAGCCAAACATATTGAAATTAAGTACTATCATTTTATTCGAGATTACCTTCTTGCTAAAGGCATTGCCACTAGCTTTGTGCCCACAGAAATGTAGCTGGTAGATATCATTACAAAAGCCCTTGGTCGTGATTTCAAGCCTTATTAGGTAAGTTGAGCATTCGATTAATTAATTTCAATTTTCTATCGATCTTCTTACAAAATTTCTATCAAAAAAAAATTCTATGCTGTTTTAAATACATATAAATGTAATCTTAATATTATTTTTTACTGAAGTCAAGACTTGGTTTTATATTGTAATCAGTACTTTAGATTTAACTTGTGGAGTGTTTTGAATTTAGCTTGTAATCATTCTACCCAACCTTCAATAATATTTTCTTACAGATGCCAGTCGAGTAAGCCAGTCACAGCTTGCAATGGATTGACATTACTTCCCAGTTGTGCAAACTTCATTTTCCAAGAAAAATTCTTCAATTTTCTTTTCTGCTTTTTTACTATGTTGATTACATCAAGAGCCATACTGGTTTATTTGTTTATTATTTAATCTCTCTTCATCCAACTCCGAGCACCGTCGTCTACATTGTTGCTTCTATTTGACAAGTGTTCCTGACTTCTTTTATTGTTAAAACCTGAATGAATATTTATTCTATCATCATGTTTTGCTTTCTTTTTCCTGTTTTTTTTCCCTAATCAGGTTATCGAATACTAAAGTTCATAAACTATAATGTAAATCTGATAACTATCATTACCATCTTTTGCTTCCCCGTTAAGTTTTAACTTCCGCGTTGACTTCGGCTGCGGATGTGTTTGTTTTATTTCATCAAAGGCATACCGAATGCACATAAGTAAATTCCAAATAAGTACCATATCATATAGGGATATATAGAAAGAGAGCCATTTCCTCACGATAAAAATAAGAATAATAATAAACATATAAATAAAAAGAAAACCAACCCTCTAATAATGGGGATTTTAGAAGGGAAAAATTGCCAATAAAAGACTTGTAGAATCAATAGTCATTGCCCTGGTTCGGACTATCAAAATGGGAAAAAAATAAAAGGAAAAGGAAAAGGAAAAGGAAAAGAAGAAAACATTAGGGTTTGGGGAGGACAAAAGGACAGAAATCTAAATAATTGGGAAACTGCACAGTACACTCTCCTTGTCCTGATAAAAACGTCCTTCCAATAATCCTCTTTAATTATCTTTATGGCCTTTTCAATTCCAATTAAAATATCTATTTAGTATAACACTAAACTCAATAAATAAATAAAATTCGCCTTCTATGAAAATTCTGGACTACGATTAAAATATGAGTAATGGTTGGGCCCTCCAATTTTCATCAAACACATAAAAATCAATTAATTAGCACAGTAGGTACTCTACACAAATGGCATCACCATTGAAGCCTAAGTGGACAAAAAACTATGTATCTCTCCACATTAAGCAATTCATGTGAACTTATGACATACATTAATCAAAACGGATCTATTTTAATCAGCAATTCACATATTTTTCCAATATTTCAATTAAAAAGATTAATAAATTCAATTAAAATGCTTTTATTTTACTACATAGATAGATACTGTATAGTCATGTGAGAAATATGCAAAGCAAAAGTCGGTTGCTCCGTACGTTCTCATATGCTAAGATTGTCTTTCTCTGTTGCTGGTAATTTTCATAGTTGGAGTATGAACAAAATGAAAGAGCAAGAAATATCAGAGGAAGATTGAACAAAAGACGAAGGAATGAATGAATAGAGAATCTGAACTGTATCTCTTACTGTTAATTCAATTAAAAAATATAACCTTTTACACCAGAGTATATACAAGAGAAAAATGACAGCTGTGCTAATTGACAAGGCTAACTAATTGTTAAAACTAATTAACTAACTTCATAACACGTGCTTTATATCATAAATAGATTAGTTATTTTGTTACTCCCCCTCAAGATGAGTATGAATATTGTTCATGTTTATCTTGCTGATCAGTTTGTGGATAACTCCAGGTTGCAGAGCCTTTGTAAAAATATCAGCAATCTGCTGATCAGTAGACAAGAAACAAGGCTGAACGACTCTAGAATTCACCTTCTCACGAATGAAGTGGCAGTCTACTTCAATATCCTTACTTTGTTCATGATAGACTGGATTCTTACATAGAATGTTGATTATTCAAATCTTTCAAAAGGAATCCCATCGACATAACTTCACACGTGATAGCTGTCATTGCCCTATATTCTGCCTCTGTACTGCTGCAGGCTACTAGGCTTTGTTTCTTTGATTTCCAGCTGACCAAAGAATCATCTAAGAACACGCAAAATCTAGAAACTGATTTTCTAGTTTCAGCACAACTAGCTCAATCACTGTTAGAAAATGCTCTTAACTTCAATGATGAAGCAACTGAAAATAACAGCCCTTGTCCTGGAGCAGCCTTTAAATATTTAAGAAATCTATGAGCAGCTTGTAAATGAACAAGAGATGGCTTGTCCATGAATTGAGCAAGCATATTCACTGCATAGCATATATCGCGTCTGCTAAATGTTAAGTATAAAAGCTTCCTCACAAGTTGCCTATAATAAGTTGAATTATTCAACACATCATCTGAAGTATGCAGCAGCTTTTGTTTAGGATTCATAGGATTGGATGCTGGTTTGGAATCACATAAAGCAAATTCATCCAATAGTTCAAGGACATACTTTCTTTGACAGATAGCTATCCCCTGTTGTGATCTTGCAACTTTAATGTCGAGGAAATACTTAACAAAAACAAGGCCCTTGAGTTTAAAGTTCTCGGTAAGAAATTGTTTAACATCAGCAATATCATCATTACAACTACCAGCTATCACAATATCATCCATATAAACCAATAAGGCAAGGAAATTGCATGAAACAGTGTACATAGTAAACAATGAATAATTAGTAGTAGATTGAGCAAATCCATATTCAAGTAGAGTTGAAGTGAATTTAGCATTCCATTACCAAGAGGCCTATTTCAAGCCATATAAAGACTTGTGTAGCCTACAGATCAGTTTGTGTCATTTATCTCCATACTCCCCTTTAGGCTCATAACCAGGAGGTAAGTCCATAAAAATCAATTCATCCAAATCCCCATATAGAAAAGCATTGTTAATATCTAGTTGAGAGAGAGACCAACTGTGAATAGCAGCCAAGGTAAAAAATAACCTGACTGTAGTATGCTTGGCAACTAGACTGAATGTCTCCTGGAAATCAAAGCCTTCTATTTGACTGTAACCTTTGGCCACTAACCTGGCCTTATACCATTCAATGGAGCCATCGGATCTCAACTTAACTTTGTAGACCCATTTACAGCCTATAGCATGTTGTTCAGAGGGTAAGGGAACCACTGACTAGGTATTATTGTCCTCAAGAGCAAGTAATTCAGCATTCATAGCTTCCTGCCAATGATCAAATTTCACAACTTGGGAATAACTATAAGGTTCAAAAGTGTGTGTTAAGGAGACAATAAAGGTTGAATGAGAAGGGGAAAGGTTAGACGTAGATAAGTAAAGATGAAGAGGATATGGAGTAGTATATGATAGATTACTGGCATATGTAGATGTAGAAGGAAAAGAATGTGAGTAAGCTTCTAAATAGGCAGGAAGCTTAGTATTACGAGTGGACCTACGAATAGGTAAGGAAGGAAGAGGCTCTTGATGGTCAATGGCATTAGATATAGTAGGAGGTGAAGCAGTAAAAAGATCATTCACTGTAGGAGGAACCTGTGGTGGATAGACAAAATGGGAATGTTGAATAGCTGTAAAATGAAACAAGTTAGATATGGAATGTGACTTAGGAGATAGAGGCGAAGGAAAAGAGAATGGAGAAGAAAAAGGAAAGATGTTTTTCATGAAAAACAACATCCTTGGACACTGAAACTTTATGATTTAGTATATCAAAAACTTTATATCCTTTAATGCCAGCAGGATAACTAAGAAATACACAAGGAGTGGCCCTAGGATGAAACTTTTTGCGATGAGATGTAGAAGTGGAAACAAAGCATAGGGAACTAAAGATTTTCAAATGGTCATAACGAGGTGGCATTTTGAACAATAATTCATATGGTGTCAGGTTATCAACCAAGGTAAAAGGGGTTCTGTTTATCAGATATGCAGCGGTAAGGATGGCATCCCCTCAAAATTTCAAAGGTAAAGAGGCTTGAAACAAAAGTGACCGAGCAACATTGAGTAAATGTTGATGGTTCCTGTCAACAACAACATTCTGTTGAGGAGTGCTAACACAGGATAGTTCATGAATAATACCTTTTGAAGTATAGAATACAGAAAGATGAAATTCAGAACCATTATCAAACCTAATTGTCTTAATGGAACAATGAAATTGGTTAAGAATCATATGATAGATGGAAGGTATAATGGACAACACTTCTGACTTATGTTTAAGCAAGAATACTCATGTGACTCTAGTAAAATCATCAACCACTGTAAGAAAATAATGAAAACCACCAAGTGAAGCAAAGGAATAAGGTTCCCAAATATCCATATGAATTAACTCAAAAGCAGAACTTGTATTTTTATTATGAATGGAGAATGGTAGTCTCTTTTGCTTTGCCAGAGGACAAACAAAACAAGGAGAATGATATTTACATTGAATGACAAGAGTTATTCTTACTAAGCAATTGAAGTCTATCATGAGAGATCTGGCCCAATCTATAGTGCCATATATCAGAAACAGAAGGATTTGGTTCCACTTGAGGCGGGTGCAAGGGCTAATCAAGGGTGCACTCGCCTATCATGACCTGAGCCATATCAGATCTGGCATTTTAATTATTTTTTTGGTTAATTTATATAATTATTATAATTTCTGTAAAAACAAACCTAGTTATGCAATCTTTGTAACTTTTTACCTAAATTTTACTTTATAAGTATCAAAAAATTTTATTTGATTTTTTTAAATATATATATATATATATATATATAAAAAGAATAAGTTGGGTCAGATCAGATACCTGATGAATGGAGAAAACCCTTAATCCAATCCGACTAAATGCAAGCCAGATATAGATAATAGTTATGATTACGTCAGGTCAAATACGGGTACATAAAAAACTTGTTCCATTCCAACCCATGACTATCTCTAATCAATAATGGATGGCATAGTAATTTTTATATATGAATTTTTTGGTTTCATGAATTATCCATATTATCTTTATGTAATCCCAACAGCTTAATAACCTTTTATTTATTCGCCCTAAGCTCGATCCCACTTTGCTCTGAGTATTCACCTTTGCCTTTACCTGCCCTTTTTGTTGCACCGTATCTTTCTTAGTGAGCTGCTACTAAATATAAATGGAGGGTTGTAATGTTATTACATTTAACTATTTGAATTCAACAATTTAATATGAGAGTAACTTCACTCAGATATATATACTTGGAAAGAGATGATTGTTGAGCGTGCTAACTAAAGAGGAGAAAAACATGCCTCTATCTCCTAATAACTTGAAAAGAACGAACAAAGGCCTCCATCTCCTAATAACTTGAGTACTTGAT